CTTCATGTCTTTTTACCCCTCATTCCTCACTTTAGGTAGCCAATGTTTATGTTGCCTGTACCTTTGTACCGAGGTGTACCTTTGTACCCTGTGTACCAAGGGGATAGGTTTGATCTTGGATGTGAAGACTCCTTCCCTCTCAGTTGCTATTTTGAGCTGCCACACCCGTAAGTAAAGGTAAATGTCATCAAATTGTAGCAATTTACATTTGCACCTGTATCAAACTTCTTTATCTTCCTCTACTCAATCTCAGGTCATCAAGACACTGAAACTGAGCCAAATGGTTACTCTCTGCAAGTTTGGGCATTCTTAAGCCCCTTTCCCACTTCATATCAGCTGGATACTTCACTCTCAGCTCTAACCCCACATGACTAGGTCAGTGTCCATGGGTTCAGGAGTTCCCCAGTCTCCCCAAACCTCAGACCAACCAGCTCTTCCTCTTCTCTCTCTCATCTCAAGGTCAACAGGAGTCTATGGAACATGGTTTAACTCAGCCGATGTCTTCATTACTGCCTTTCCCCCACTTCCACTCACAAGTAGACCAACATGTTCACCAACGAGCTTACATGATGCTTGTTTGTTCCCTTTGAGTTTCAGTCTTGGCAGTTAGTTTTTTCCTAAAGGGACTTGATAGCTTGCCTTGATGATTCCCAAGAGAACAGTTTGCTTGTTCTTGTACTAGCCAAATAATCTGCTGTTTTCATTTTTTTTTGTTTTCCTGCTGGTCTTTCTTTCAAGTATTTTGTGTTTCTTTGGCCATTCTGGGTTGGTCTGCATGTCCTTTAAAGTGGGTATGTCCCACTTTAGAAGGTTCAGGATAGGACTCAAGATTCCACCTAAGGTCCTATACTCTACAAAGGTTCCATAAGAAGCCTATTTTACTGGACAAGCTCTAGAATCGCTTTTAGGTATTTCATTCAATTATAGGCTGAAGACAGGCTTATAAGCTTTCAGCAATCATGTGTCCCAATATTCTTTTCTATCCCACTTAAGTATATATTTTACAATAGTAGGAAAGGGAAACCAATATACATAAAACAGCCAAGCATCTTAACACTATTTCCCCTCTATTACCCATTCAGACTATGCTTCAATCCCTGTATCACTGAGCCCTGTTGTCCCAAGTTTGAGTATATATCCCTATTTACCTCTGTAGCATTTAGCCCACACAAACCTACCTAAGTGTCCCCCTATCTTGCTTGTTCTTCCACTCTCCCACTCCCCTCTCCCTTCTTGTGTGTTGCCCTCCCCTTCCTTGTTAACTGCCCTCCCATCATGCAAGCTATAACTAACATTCATTTTTGTCTTTTCTTTTTTGCCTGTCTTTAAATAACCTTTGTATTTCCCTGTATGATATTCTTGGTATCCCGTAACTCTTTTAGTTTTTGGTCAATAGTGTCTAATGTATCAAGTCTTCTCTCTCTTTTTTAAAAGTCTTTAAAAAAGTCTTTTAAAGTCTTTATTGTGAATTGAGTGATAATTTACATGGTTTTACACCATCATTTCATTACTATGATTACAATCTCCTCTGTGTATCATCATTCAACAGTATTTGCTTCTATTCCTTCTGTTGTTGTTTTTTGGAGGGAGGGGTGGGTATGTACACAAAAGCACTCAGGAATAGATAATCATTTAAACAACCAAAGGGCACATTCTGCAAGCCTGCCTCCTGGCCACCAGCATTCAGTCTTTCTCTTGCCATGAGTCTAGAGTCCTCAGCTTCTCTCTCTCTCCATGTCCTCATCTCTTTCTCATCTCTGATATCACTGCTTCTCTAGATAGGGTCCTGCATTCTGCTAGTGCTCTTCTCCCTTGATGGCCCTAGGGTTCTCTGGACTGTAAGATTAACTACTTCCCTGTTTTTGTTACAAATCTTCTACCTTTACAGTTGTGACAGTCGCAATTAGTTATAACAATTACTTACTATTGAATCATATGAAACTTATCCCTATCTTTTCAACAGACCTGTTGAAAGACCTGATGAAAACTATCAGTGGGGACTCTACCTTCCTCTGAACACTTTTAAACTAAACTCCCTCTTGAGAACTTGTAAGCCAGTCTCAAGTCTTCTTTTGAGATGGTCTCTAATCTGGTAGCGTAGTGGTTACAAATCGGACTGTGAATCGCAAGGTCAGCAATTCGAAACTACCAGCTGTGCAGCGGGAGAAAGATGAGGCTTTCTGCTCCCGTAAAGATTTCCAGCATCGGAAACCCTGTACAGGGTCACTATGAGTCGGAACTGACTCCACGGCACATATCAACAACAATACTCAAGGTCATATTTTGGTTATTGTGGACTTATTTTAATTTTCTTCATTTCAGCTTGAACTTGCTTATGAGTAATTGGGCCTCTGAAATTGTTTTGGCTGATGATAGTGAGCTTCTCCACTTTCTCTTCCCACAGATGTTAGTCAATTTGATTCCTGTATATTTCATCTGGTGAATATGGTCCTGTATATTTCATCTGGTGACCATGTATATGGTCACCTTTTATGCTCTTGAAAAAAGTTATTTGCAATGAAGAAATAGCTGATCTTGTAAAATTTTATAATGAGATCTCCAGCATCATTTCTATCACCAAGACCATATTTTCCAACTACTGATCCTCATTTTCAACTTTTACATTACAATCACTAGTAATTCTCAATGCATCGTGATTACATGTTTGATCAATTTCAAACTGAATAAATTTGTACAGTTCTTTAATTTTATCATCGTTGGCTTTAGTCATTTGTGCATAAAGTTGAATAGTAATAACTGGTCTTCCTTGTAGGTGTATGGATACTATCCTATAACAGACTGCATAGTACTTTAGGATGGATTTTGAAATGCTCTTTTTGATGATGAATATGATTCCATTCCTCCTCAGTTTGTTGTTCCCAGCATAGTAAACCAAAACCACGAACACTTGTACATTTCAGCTTACTAATGCTTAGGATGGAGTCCTGATGTGGTGCTGCAGAATAATGCACTGGACCTCAAGGTTGCTTTGAACTGTAAGGTTATGACTCAAACTCATCAGTTGTTCCTTGGAAACCCTATACAAGGTCATTATGAGTTAGAACTGACTCTACAGCATTTAACAACAATAACCATGCTTAGGAAACGGATCTTTATTTGTTCCATTTAGTTTTTTGATGTCTTCCAATTTTCCTAGATTCATGCTTCGTATATTCCATGTACCAATTAATGTTCCAATCAATAATGGATATTTGCAGATGTTTTGTCTCATTTTGAATTGTGCCAGATCAGCAAATGAAGGTCCTGATAGCTTTGCTTTATTCACATCTTCATGGTCAACTCTAATTTAAGGAGGCAGCTTTTTCCCAATTGTATTATGAGTGTCTTCCAAGTTGAGGGGCTCATCTTCCTGCACCATCAGACAATTGTTGTTGTTAAGTGCTATCAAGTCAGTTCCAACCCATAATGACACTGTATAGGTTTCCTAAGGAGAGGCTGGTGAGCTTGAACCACTGACCTTATGGCCCAATTGGATATTTTTTAAATTATATTTTTTAAAATACAATTTTTTTTCTGAGACACTTATGTGTAGATTCCTGTTCTACCCTATCACTTAGCATATATATGGATTCCACTTCACCCCTATCACTTAGCATATATATGTGTCTATATCTATATGCTCATATATGTGCTAAGTGATAGGGTTGAAGTTAAATCCACATATAAGTGTCTCAGAAGAAAGCTCTGGTAATATAAATTTTTTAAAATCATTTATTAAAAAGTCTATCGAACTCAGTTACAATTATGTCTGATATATGTCACCATGGGACAGGACTGACTCCCTGAAGGTAACACACACAATTATTGAATTCTTTAACAAAGATCCAAGCAAGTTGTGTCAGAATACCTTCACAGCTTCTCTTGTCAGGTCCCAGCTCATAGCCTGGCTCACAGGCACACTGATAACTGCCCAGAGTGTTCAGACAACGCTGCTCACAACCTCCACGATCAGGTTTGGCACACTCGTCTTCCTCTATGAAAAAGGGGGTAGTTACAGAACAGAAAGAAGATTTTGTTTTTAAATATTACGGTGTTTTTAATTTTTTTGTTTTTTTTTTTTAATTTGAAAATTATCTCTAATGGCAATGAAACTATGACAGGTGATTTTCTTCTAGAAATAAGCAGTAGCATTTTATAAATCCTGTCTAAACGATACACACAAATTCATGTTGTCGCAAACTGTACTTTATATAAAAACTAAGAGAAAGACTTGATATCTGTAGCATAGTCAGTTGAAGATTATCTTATGACAGATACAATGATTTTATCTGAATTCAAAGATAATTAAAATACAGATATTTTTCAGAATGAAATAAAAAAAACCCTGAAAAACCATAACTTCATTATTAATTCCCGCTTAAGGAGCTCTGGTAGCGTAGTGGTTACGAATCGGGCTGCGAACCGGAAGGTCAGCAGTTCGAAACTACCAGCTGCTCCGCGGGAGAAAGATGAGGCGATCTGCTCCCGTAAAGATTTACAGCCTCGGAAACCCTATTCAGGGTCGCTATGGGTCGAAACCGACTCGACGGCACTTAACAACAACAACAAACAGTAGTTTACTTTTTATTTCTTAGAAAATTCTACAAGGGAATTCCATTATTAAGAAATACATTGTGGTGAATATAAATTAAAGAAAACTCAGAAACGAACTAGACCTTTTTGAATTTAAAGTGTTCAGTGTTTCTTATATATACATTTTGATCTAAAAATATGATACCATGTTTCCTGTAAATATATATGCCAATTAATTTGTATGTGAAAATATATTAAATTTAGGTAAAAATATATACATTTTCTTAATGCATACAACATGATACTCCATGATTATACTTATCAGGAATAAACTAATGAGGTAAACAACATCTTTGTAAGAAATCATACAGCTATAAGAAATAGGCATTTTAACAATCAAATATGTAAATATCACAAAAAAATCTTTACAGCATGTTTCATCTATTGTGAAATATAGCACATAATAAAAAGTTACACCATGTAAGTGTAACATTTAAAAAAATACTTTTACCACAAATAATATTTTTAATATATAAATTATTGCTATGGTATGGCGCTGTGGGATCAGCACTGGAGTGCAAACCACATGATCGGTGGTTCAAACCCACCAGCTGCTCCTCAGAAACCCTGTACTGGATTGCTATGAGTGGGAATCGACTCGACAACACTTAACTAAACTACTACATAGTAAAAGTATCAAAGTTATCCATTTTTCTATTCTTATGGCAACTATTAGGTAACTCTCAGGGGAAATTCATTATACTTTTGTTCTTTAATCTATAAAAACCTTCAAATAATTATCATTCAAATTCTGACATATCACAATTGAATATATTATTTTTTTCTTATATCAATCTAGAGAAAAGTTTGTTTTCTCATGCTATAAAATAATTTTATTTTATAAGGACACACTTAACATCATTCCATGGGGATCTTCTAAATGTGTATATGGTACTACCTTGTGTACTAAAATAGTTTTATTTTTACCTCAGTAATAAATATCCAATATGGGACATGAACATAGACAAAAATTTAGTCATGCAGTTGAAAATTAAAAATCATCAGCAATATTTCTTTGTTAAAAAGATATTTTTAAGTACCAGAGTATTCTGTCAGCAAGGCCATGGATTATTTCTACATGGCAAACCAATTTTCTGGTAAGGAATGGTTTAGAAAATCTGTGACCTGGAAATAAAATGATGAACTACATGCAATCAGTAAACCCTTTTCTGGTAATGAATTCACTGTTAAATACATGTATTACAAACATTTTTTCCTATTTGCAAATACCTTTCTGTGTTTTGCTATTTTGATACAGGTAGTAGAGTAACCTAATGGAGATCCTATTCTTTGCTACAAAGTTCCATATTCAAACACTTATAATATTCGTAAAAGGCACCTAAACATCTTTTTGAACATTGAATTCTTAAACGTTCAATACAACTTTACTCAAGTTCTCGAAGTCAAACATAAACACCGTGTTTAGCCCCTGACAAAATCAACATTTGTAATTTATTTCAGGCTTACCTTTAAAAAAAGTAGCAGCAAATCCTGCCTTGTTAACAGTTCCATCAGAAACAAACTTCATCCACAGAGTGTTAGAGGTAGATCTTATATCTTCAGGTTTATCATACCCACAGAAACGTCCTATTAAGGGGCTATTTTCACTGGTTCCGTCTCGGACTTCTAGGTAGTCATAGGCACAATTGTCATGTCTCTCGATCTGCAAAAACAGACTCATGTGAGTATTTTTAGATAAAAATTTTCATAGAAAATTATTATGTATTCTCAGTGTTATAATGACAGAATGGTATAAAAAGTGTACTATGTGAAATAAGAACATTTTCCACGATGATAGCTAAGTTATATTGTTATTGTTGTTAACTTCAGGTCAGTTCCACCTCATAGCAATCCTATAATGGGTTTCTAAGGAGCAACTGGTAAGTTTGAACTGCTGACCTTGTGGTACAAACTGACTTTTCAATCCAGTGCTTATCCTATAGAGCCATTTAAAACACAGGTAAACATCTTTGTGGTACTCTCTGCTTTCAGCCAATATCTATTTGACATCAGCAATGTTATTCCTCATTGTTAGTCTGAATCC